CAGAAGCCAGTTGAGATTTATGCCTGATAGATCTACAACAGAGGCTACATTCCTGCTAACTCTTTGATGTGCCGTGAAATTCCAGCACATTCTATGCCATTTACATAGACTTTTCATGTCCTTAATGCTTTTTTGGTATATGATTCTTATGTTATTTTACGTTTTGTAGATGTTTTGAGGTAGGACACAAAAAAAGGGCAAAAGTGAACAAACACATCAAAAAATTGAACCGTTCTGTGGACCGCCGCAAAACCAGACTGCACACCGCAGAATGGGTCTGTCAGCCACAAAAAGAGACAGATTAAAAGGACTTTGAAGACCAAAATGCGATGATCTTTTGCGGTCCCCTTGCTGTTCTGCGGACCGCATTCCAGTCTGCGATCAAGAATAACATGTCATGAAGCCCATTTGCAGACCACATTCTAGTTCTGCGGAGCACATCAAGACCACAATTTAGGAAGAACTTACGGGTAGCCCAAAATTGAAATGTAATTAGTGTCTCCTAGTTGGTTTTGAAGAGCTAGCTAAGTTAAACCCGCTAAATAGTCAAGTGACATTAGTGGGCAATTGAGATTCCAAGGTTAACTACTTGTTCGAAGATTATTATTATTAGTTAATTATTTGTAACATATTATTCTTGATGATAATCAATTCCATAATTTCCATATCTCTTGTTTTCCTTTCTTGCGAGGTCATTGATCATGGTGTGAAACCATAATGAGAGTAGGTGTTGAAAGAAGATGAGGTAAACCTAAACTCACGTGGAAGAAAGTTGATAATTAGTATGAACTGTTTCGAGTAAATTGAAAAATGACGGAGATATTTTTTCACATACTTGTGATCTGAACAGAATGGATACTTGAACTATCTTGTAAGTTACATGCAGAACCAATTGTAATCCATAAATCTTTTGTTAGACAAACAAGAAAACATCAGCTTTTTAGACAATCAAGCTGCATTGGAAACTCAGGAACCCATAAACAACAAAAGGTTACAGTCTGACTCTGCCTATGACTGCCATAATATGCAGGAACCGTCTGCTAGTTTTAACTCTGCTTAAAGCATCAAGGATCATGGACTAACAAATACTTCATTTGTCCTGTTTTTATGTGACACACTTCCCTTTTTAGCCTGTCCAAATAGAGATATAATTTGAACTTCCCATTGTACCCTCCATGACATGATTTTATAGCCACAGAAATATCCATAGCATGTTTTAGACGACTAGTATCAAAAGTCTTTCTTTCTTTCCTTCTTAAACTTTGTGCCCAATAGAAAACTGAGACATATATTTGGACAGAGGGTACTACTCAAGAAATATTGAATGAACCAAGGAATAATACAAGTTACAAATAAACACATGCTAGTATTCTTGCAATACAATCAAATTCAAAGACATAGGAGTATAAGTAACTGGGAGGAACGAGGTTCTTGCACATAAAACCTAGCAGCAAATCCAATATTTTAGAGCATAAACTCGATAACTGAAGGCTACATCAAGTTGCTGAAAAGTGTGTGCGCGCAGGATGGTTGGGTGGATGAGTGTGATTAATACAACAAATTTAATATGATTTGCAGTGCTCACATCAATATTCCAAAGAACTTACTTTTCATCCAATGGCCACCAAACTTTTATTCTAGCGCCAACCAGTTCCTTGCCATAATCTTTAATGGTACAAGTCCTTTCAGAATCCTGAAACAAAAAATTAGAACGACGAGTGCTTCAGACATGAAAACACTTAGAACCACTTTCTAATATGAAATCTGTCAGAAACAACACTATATCAGATGGGTAGAGAACCTTTTGAGATGAATTGTCTTCAAGCAATTCCCATCGTTCTTTATGTAGTCTCAATTTCTCTACTTCACCATCATCATATATGACCTAAAAAAGGAAACACCAATCAACACTGGTCATTTGGAACTTTCAGGAGGATTTTTTGCAAAATGTTAAAGCCAATAAAATAAGGTTCAAGTTAGATAATGCTACTTCACGATCAGTATATATAAGAATAGGGTCTACAACAAAGATGTCTCTACACTGTAAGGTTGTACCTGTATGTAAAAAGGAATTTACGTGGCAGCTCTTGATTTTGAAGAGTTAAATAGATTTGTCTATTCCCTAGTTTATCCGACCCCATTTGACTTAACATGGAGTTAGTTTTACTTACAGGTATATTAGCAGTGGTAGGAGAACTTTTTTGAAAACAAATGATACAAGGGTTTACACAGGTCAAGGATGTTGAATTGTTGTATAAAATAAGAATGAACATACAAGTAACTTAAAGAAAAAATCTAAGATAGAGAAACAATGACAAGATTTCATAAAAATAAATAATCTCGTCACCTTGTGTTTGTTTGTCTCAGAATCAAAAGAAGAAATGACTCCCTCGTAAAACCTGTAAAGAGAAACTTTAAGATGAGAAATTGTAGCTAGATTCTTCCTTCTTATTCAAGATAAAGTAAGATCAAAATTGGTAGATACAATGACATATAGAACAAAGAGATAATCAAAGTTGTGCGAACAATAATGACATTAAACTCATTACTATACGATGAAACTCGGGGAAAGACTGATAGAACATAGAGTAACAGAAACCAGTTCGGATTTATGCCTGATAGATCTACAACAGAGGCTATATTCCTGCTAACTCCTTGATGTGCCGTGAAATTACGGCACATTCTATGTCATTTACATAGACTTTTCATGTTCTTAATGCTTTTTTAGTATAAGATTGTTATGTTATTTTACATTTTGTAGATATTTTGAGGTGGGACACCAAAAGAGGGCAAAAGTGAACAAACAGGTCAAAAAATTGAACCCTTCCGTGGACCGCCTCAAAACCTGACTGCGCACCGCAGAATGGGTTTGTCAGCCACAAAAAGAGACAGAATATAAAGGACTTTTAAGACCAAAATGCGATGATCTTTTGTGGTCCCATTGCTTTTCTGCAGACCGCATTCCGGTCTGCGATCAAGAATAATAAGTCATGAAGCCCATTTGCAAACCACATTTCTAGTTCTGCGGAGCAACATCAAGACCACACTTTAGGAAGAACTTAAGTGTAGCCCAAAATTAAAATGTAATTAGTATCTCCTAGTTGGTTTTGAAGAGCTAGCTAAGATAAACCCGCTAAATAGTCAAGCGACATTAATGGGCAATTTAGATTCCAAGGCTAACTACTTGTTCCATGGTTATTATTAGTTAATTATTTGTAATGTATCGTTCTTGATGATAATCAATTCTATAATTTCCATATCTCTTGTTTTCCTTTCTAGCGTGTTCATTGATCATTTTACCCGCTCTCTAGATAGATTTTATCTTTATTATTTTTAAACAAAATCAAATATTTCAAAATCAATTGGTTAGCTTAATCGGTGACAATTCCATAACTAGCTTGGTTGCCCTAGTATATTTTTCCATAAGGGATTCGACCCCGACTCTTAGTTGGGTAAATTTTATTGCAACGACCATGTTCACTTCTCTTTGAGAAGTGGATTTGGACGCCATCACTCTTCTAACAAGATTGTTGGAAGTTTATTATGAGAAGAGACATACCTAACGGCTATCGTGTTCATCGACCCAAATAAAGCATAAGAAGAAATACAACGGAAGGTCCTTTGGTGGGTGATGGAGGAAAAAGAAATTCATGATAGATATGTAAAATTCATAAAGGACATGTATGAAGGAGTTGTCATTGGCGTGAGAACTAGTAAGAGATACGGAGGAGTTGATTTTCCTCTAACCGTGGGTTTACACCGAGGATCGTCATTGAGGCACTACTTGTTTACTCTAGTTATCAATGAACTAACCAACATAATACTATGTGAGGTCCTTCACCATTTGCTGATGAAATCGTGTTAATCGACGAAACCAGTAAGGGTGTCAACCGGAAACTTGAACAGTTGAGAAGCACTTTAGAGAGCAAGGGTTTTCGGATACGATGAGTAAAAGTAAGACTAAATTTATGCACTAAACTCTAAAGTTTAGTCAACATGAGAACTAAATTGAGGTGAGACTAGACTGGATTGACGTGCCTAAATGCAAACAATTTAGATATCTAGACTCTCCTTGTTCCAGAAGGATGAAGTGATAGATGAAGATGTTACTCAATAGAATTAAAACTGGATGATTTAAATGGAGAAATATTATGTGATAGATTGTAAGCTTTACATAATAATTATAAGTCCGACAATGAATGTTGGGTCTCTAAAGTTCAACATATCCACAAGATAAGTGTTGCAGAGATGCGACACTAAGATGGATGTGCGATCATGCCTGATTATATAAGACTAAGAATGACCACATTCGCTAGAAGGTGCAAGTAGCATACATTAATGATAAAATGAGAGGAGGTCGCTTGAGATGGTTTTGTCACGTGGAGGCATGGTCTCCAAGTTTGAACTCTGGTTACAGAATCAAGGATCATGAAGTACCACATAACTCAAAAAATACCAAATGAGCCAAGGTAGAAGACAAAGTTATGGATAAAATCCATGCTATTACTAGATCTATACCATCAATTCAAAAACTTATAGGATTATAAGTATGCCATCGAAGGAAATTCTTACACATAAAGCCTAGCAGGCAAGGCAATGTTTTAAAGAACAAACTCAATAACTGAACTTTACATCAAGTTTCTAAAAAGAGTGCGCGTGCAGGATCGTTGGGTGTGACTAGTACAATAAATTTACAATGGTGTTGCTGTCCTCACATCAATATTTTAAAGAACTTACACTTGCTCCAATGGCCACCAAACTTTTATTCTAGCGCTGATCAGTTCTGCACCATGATCTTTACTGGTACGAGCCCTTTCAGAATCCTGTGCAGCTCACAAGTAAAAAGGAGAATTGCAAAAGGAAAGTAATAATCTGTTCATTGCAAAAATAAATTAGCAAAGATCTTGAATAACTATTACTGAGCTATACGGTTGTCAACCTTATCTCCAGATTCTTCAGTATTAGTTGTTTTCTTCTTCTTCTGCCTCTGTTTCGTTCCAAAAATTTGTTGCAGTGTTGGCTCCTTGTGTTCTTTGAGGTTTCCTTCTTCATTTTTTATGCTAGATTCAGATTTTCTCTCTGAGTCACAATCTGAAGCAGACTCATTCTTCCTTGAGTCGCTTCCTCGTTTTCTTTTGGCACATACTGTGCGCTTGGTTCTCTCTCCCCAAGTGAGACCTAAATGAAGAGTAATCTTTTTTCTGAACTTGGGATTGCGGCACATCTCCTATTGGAATTTAACACAACCAGCTCATCATCGTCATTTATCGGGATCTCTTTTCTCTTGGGCTGACACAAATGACCATGGCTTCCAGTGCTATTATTATGATTTTCGGACACCAAAGAATGATGGCCACTACTACCTGTAAGTTCATGACTTCCAGTCCCTTCCTGGTTTTCTTTTGGCACATTTGTTGCTGGTTGCACATCTTCTGGATTGACAGGTTTTATGATGTTTGTTGTACAAGTATCCTTTAGCTTCTCCCTGTGAGTATCATCCTGCAGCATTGGTTCACAAAATTTAGCCTCAGATGGACCAACTTTTACAGGATGACCTGTAAGTTTATGACTTCCAGTCCGTTCCTGGTTTTCTTTTGGCACATTTTTTGTTGAGTGCACATCTTCTGGATTGACAGGTTTCATGATGTTAGTTAAACAAGTATGCTTTAGCTTCTCCCTGTGAGTATCATCCTGCTGCGCTGGCTCACAACATGTAGCCTCAGATGGACCAACTTTTACGCGATGCACAGTATCAGGTGCATTTTCAGTTGCCATCTGATAAAAAAATAAGAGAAGAGGAAAAGAAAAAAATCTGTTAAAAACTGTTGTAGCGTCCTAGTAATAATTAAACACTATAGAAGCACTTAGTCTCCTTGGCATCCCCTTGCTCTTTGGGCCAAATAGTGCATTAGAGCCAATACTAAAATCTTGTTAACTAAATTCAACACTAGAGTATATTCTAATGTAAGCTGAGTGGAGTTATTCTAATGTTGGCTCTAACTCCTTTGAGTGATGTATGTTTACAATAAGGATAATTGACATGAGTATGCAAAGAGAAAAGTTCTTTAAAAACTGTATGTTTCTGTAAAGATATGGCACTTGGGTGTAACTAAACCCCAAAAGCTAGCTTATGAAAGGCAGGATAGCCAAGTTCATATAAGCACACCACTCCATTCACGCCCAATTGGAGCTTGGACCAGGACCAGGAGCCCAAACATGGATGGAGTTGGCTCTGAAGTTTGGTATCTTTCTTTATTATGTCAAATACTTTTCAAAATCTAACTGCATACAACGATACCATTTTCGGTGCAATTTGTCAGTGACAAGCTTCCCGGTGCTAATTATAATGTACTGTACTAGGTTTAAGACTATGAAAGATTACAACCTTATTCTAAGGCATAATGAAATAAGGGTGTGGTTGGCATTTATACGGAGCCAAACTGTAGTAATAGGACAGAGGTGCTAATTTTATCAACAATATGAAGTTACTGGGTATCTAGTTTACCATCGCTCACAAGAAAGAAGGAAAAGCCGACATTTTTAATCATGATGTTTATGCCCACTTATATGTGTAAATGAATGCTTGGATGTATAGACAATGAAAGTGAAGTATTAACATTAAACAAAGCATCATATCAATAAACATTTCTTTAGAAAAGCAAGCAGCCATTGTTTTAGGTGTAGACAAGATAGTTATGAATACAACATACCATTTCTTTTCCTTTTGGCATTTCATTGCATAATAATGCAACCGTTTCAGCATAGTCACCAGAATTTAAGCTCATTGACTTTAAAGCTTCTGCAAAGTGAGGTTTCACAATGGCAGCACAGTCTTTTAGGACTTCCTCCACCAAGTGTGATGCAACGGGTGAATCCATCTGGATAAAAGAAACTACTGGATTAGAAAAGTGCCAAAGAAATATTCTTAACAAAGAGGTTCATAGGAGATTGATTATTACCTGATTATCAATTTTGAGACTATCACGAAGAAGCCGTAGAAGCTCTGCTGAGAGTTCATCACTGCCTTCTATGAGCCGAGTCATGATTTCTTTCATCCATGTGAATATATTATGAGGATGGTAGGGCCTTCATAGAAAATATAACATAAATATTACTATAGCCAGGATCTCAGAGAAATATTATCTCTAGAATAACCTTATGCTCATACAATGTCAACAAACCAGAAGTCTACATAATATTGAAGAATGAGAAAATAATGATAATACCCATGGGAAAGAGAATTTTGACAGAATACCTGATGACCTCGAGAAAATTTTTGAATATCTCAAAGATTAGTGTTTCATTTTCGTGGTCCAATACCACTGCAGTTAACCTTACTTTGGCGAAGATTTCCAGAACTCGGACCACCTTCCGGTAACTGCAGCTAGTAACATCAGCTAACTTTTTTAAAGCCATTACAGTTTGCCGGAGAATTTCCTGACAAAGAAAATGGCCAGGGTGAAAAAAGGAAAAATATTGAAGTAAAAACAGAAAGATAAGTTAGAATGGTGTAGTTCTACCTCCATTTGTCTATGATCATTGTAAGGGTACTTTGGGGCATATATTCGAGAAATTTCAGTGATACAAGAAATCACTGAAACTTTGACATCTTCACTCGTATGCCCCAATAGCTCATTCCTAACCAGTGCTTTCATTAAAGGTTGAATTGCACTTGTGGTCGAATCAAATGGGTCCTGACTTACCATTTTCAGTAAAGACTCAACTTTCTGACAAAGATAAGGGGAAAACAGTAAGCCATAAATTGCATGAATTTAACAGGAAAAAAAGACTATCACTTCCATTTTCCAGTCCAAAATCGTTATAGTAGAACAGCAATTCCCACTTCCATCTCATTTTTTTTTTTGTGATTTCATCTCATTCAAATAAAAAAATTGATTTTTACCTGAAGAAGTTTGAAGAGCTCATCAATGGAAGAGGGAGGATTCATGAGGCTCATCCCATAAGCTGTGAACTCGTCTTCCATCTTTTTCCAGTCAGCACAGGAGGAGCCAGAACTAGCCATTGCCAGAAGAACTCTGTTTCAAAAACAAGAACTGTAGCAAAAATTAACACTTCAACAAAGAAATGCAGAGTAGTAAAATAACACTTGTACCAAAAACTGTAGCAAAAGTAACATTTAAACCAAAAGATAGTCACAAAGTGACAAATGGCAAGCATGCATTTGGGGGGGTTGGAATTCGTGATCTTTTCAGGGGGTTTTGTTTCGACCACTCACGTTTTTTCAATTTGCTTACTTGAATGCAATGGGAACATTAGTCCCTATGCAAAAGAGCAAACAGAGCAAATTGCCAAATGGGGACTTTCCACTTTCAACTTAAAATTTTAATGTTGAAGTGATGAGAGGAATTGACAATTTTATCCTTTAAATGTTATTTAGAATTTGAGTACTTTGGGTAATGTCTGAGGTATAATATTGGAAAAGTACCACGCTGTGGCGCCTTATAACTTTTTAAAAAATATTCACGTGGCTTACACTTGTCCTACGTGACAATTCATGTGATATACTTTTATCCTTTACAATAATTTATGTGAGATATTCTTGTCCTAACATAACAATTCACGTGAGATACTTTGTCCTAACATGACAATTCACATAAAATATATTCGTCCTACATGACAATTCACATAAAACACACTAGTCCTACATGACAATTCACGTGAGATACACTCATCCTACATGACAATTCACATGAAATACACTTATCTTAAATGGTAATTCATATTAAATACACTTATCTTACATGACAATTCACGTGAGATACACTCGTTCTACAATAATTGATTTATATTATTTATAACTTGTGTATTTACTTGTTTAACTTTATACTAATTTAAATATATTTATGTACATTCAAAGTTAAATGACATAAATATCAATTTGCAAGTTATAGAGGATGCTTATATTATTTTATATCACGAAACAAAATCAAACAAAATGAATTGCAACGAAGGGTTGTACCTTAATTTTCGGTAACACACAGCAAGAAATTTTATACAAACCAGGTAGGGGCCAGGTCACTTCCAACGTGGAAACGCACCAGGTTGTTGAGAACCTGCCAACTCATCAAAATGCCACGTCACCCTGGGAACATACTAGCTTCTCGGATCCTACGTGTCATACGGGTCAGGCCTATCGGATCATCAAATCGGGAAAGGAATATCCCGGTTAGGACGGAATTCGAACTCGTAATCGGAATACAATTGGAGCTCCACCAGGCAACGGCGGCTTGATCAGCCCAACAGCAACAAAAGCAGAAATCAAGTCTGAGGAGAGTAGTGCACAGAAAATCCCTTAGCCGATTATCCGAGTCGGAGCTGAATTTTCCGTTCTGGGAAAGGAATGGTTCCCGTGCTACTGTTGTTGATGTCACTCTCCTTTTACGGCCTCTTTTTTTTTTCCTCAATCTCATCTCTGATTTCACATCCTCTTATATCTCCGCTGCCTCAGAAGTTGTGCAGGTAATTTGTTTGTTTCCGCTGCTCGGAAGTTGTGCATCTTTTGTCTCCGCTGCCTCAGAAGTTGTGCAAGTCATTGGTTTGTCTCGTTGCCTCAGAAGTTGTGCATCTTTTGTCTCCGCTGCCTCAGAAGTTGTGCAGGGCATTGGTTTGTATCGCTGCCTCAGAAGTTGTGCAGGTAACTGGAATGTAGCAGTTTCTATTCATAATGAAGATCTGTATTCGGATATGAACTCTTTCAGGTTTGGAAAAGATACCGCTTATATTATATATGTTCAGAAATTCCATGGAATCATGTATCTAATTTGCTCTGTAGGTAGACCTGGTTGCTTATACTAATACTAATACTAATACTAATAAATAAGCTCATATTCATATTCAGAAGGTTTTTTATCGTTGTAAAAAATAAGCTGATTTTCGGTTTTACAAGTTGGTCTTATGCTTGCTTGGAACCAAACTTTCAAGAGAACTCATTGCTAACTCGAATTATCTTTTCTATTTTAATCTAGAAAACACAATTTTGCAACGGATAGCTCCTTTGAGCTTCGATCAACTTCAGTTATAACCTTTAACCATTGCTGTGGCATTTAGTGCTACTGTTATCTGCGGTGATTTCTTATGCCGGTTGATTAATGTATTTGTAGGTTACATATGGGTCGGTATTAAGTTGATGCATGAGAGGAACAAAATTTCGATTGAATTCTCATATGATGTGCCCTATGATTCCGACAGTGGCAAAAGAAGAAGTTAATGGTCGAGTGACAAATAAGAGTAATAGAAGATCATATTTGATGAAAGCAAAAAGAAAACAATAATTGGAATCCATAGTTCTGGATACTGAAACCAGTATGGGGTCTATGTTGTCTTTACACAATGAAAAAAGATGGAACTAATTGATTAAAGGTCCGAAAGTCTTCCATGGGAAAGACGGGGTTATCCCACTTTCCGAAAGATGTCAACTTTCGAATGACAACATGGAAACAGAGTACTCTGCCCCTTAATTTCATCCTTCAGTTGCAAAAACAGCCTCAATAAGTTTTATCATTATTCGGATCAGGAGGTCCTTTTAGTTTCGATTCTCTCTCTCGGAAATGGAAATCGAAGAAGAAGAGAAACCCATTTTCTGAAAGAAGAGAAAACCATTTTCTGAAGACAAATCATCTAATAAGCACGAGGCAATGGGAAATGAGTGGTTGGAAACAGGGAACTGTCCTATCGCCAAATCATATAGAGCTGGCGTCAACTTTTCAGCTGCCTCCTGGAATGAAACTTAAATGCCCACCTGCAGTTGTTGCAGTCAGGGCTGCCCTGGCTAGGACTTTTTTTTTGTGAAGACTATGCGGCCGCAACCACTATATTCAAAGATGCTTGTTAATGGAGCCTTGGGAATGACAGTTAATATTCCACTAGGGATATGAAGAGAACACACTGAGAAGTTTTCACTATCACGGTTTACTGCAGTTCATGCTGCTGTTCCCTTCATAGCTATGTTGACGAAATCAGTTGTGATCCCCTAAACAGCTATGGCATTAACCATTGCTGCTTCTATCTTGGGACAGGTCATTGGCTCAAGAGCAGAGAGACTTTGGATGAAAGCAAAAGCCAACAACAACAAAGCATACCCAATGTAGTTCCACAAAGGGAAATTTGGGGAGGGTAGAGTGTACGTAGACCTTACTCTATAGTTCTTTGATAGACCCTCGACTCAAGAAAAAACCAAGAGTGTTAAATTGGTAGTACAGACTGATTCAGATATATGGGGTTATTGCAGGTCTCAACTCAATTCAAGTCCATGCATCCTCGGGGTCATTGTGGCAAACAGAAGCTGCTTTATCTCTCCATCTGCCAGTCTCCATTTCTAAACTTTTTTTAGAACTGGCAATTAAGCAGTAGATCTTGAATGCTGAAAATAAGAGGTGTGTGACCCTTGCCAAAGAGAGCAAGATTTAACTGTTATTGAAAGTTGGACAAAATTGAAGATTGAAAAGAAGTGCTTCAACAATTGACGGTAGATGACTGATGAGAAGTGCATTAACAGTCGAAAGTTCCTCACAAACAAAAAATTGAAGAAGTTGGAGAGAAGTACTCCAACATAGACCAAACACAATAAAATGAAAATTGAAGAGAAGCACTCCATCACAAACAAAAGAGAAGTGCTCTCCAATACGAAAAAACAAAAGAGGCAAGAATATACAACTTTGAATAACAAAAAAATATCGAAAGAAGAACATTTATTGTACGTAAGACTTTATATATGATTTGCACGAATCAAACTATATCAGAGCAAGCAAATAAGTGATTTTGTGGACAGACTTTGAAAAAGAGAACCAAAACCCTTTTAAGTCTGTTGAGGTTGAGGCTTATGGTTATTATTTTGTAGCATTCAGCAGTAGTTTGCCATATATTTGAGGCTTTTACTAAGTAAAGAAAAAGTTTATCACATCAAGTGTTTATATCAGACTATAATTGTTTTATCATAATTAAGTGACAAAGTTAAAATAATAATTAATTAACTAGGAATAACATGTCATATGGTGAAGATATGAAAGCACGCAACTGCAAAATGAATCTAAGTTGTTACACTTCATTTTCGATGTTGCATTTGTGTTGACACAATATGAGTGTGGAATTCGTATTGAATTCAATAAGTTAGTCATAAGCTAATTAAGGAGGCAACATCAACAGTTGTTTCCGATGTTGGCAAAGTCAACAGAGACACCTCTATTGCTTGTCCTCATCATTACCATCGATGTGAGTCACCATCCTTACTAAAACTGAACCAATATTCTCTGCATCACATTCATGGATTGAGACATCTCCCTTCAAAAATCTGTGAGTTTCTTTCTGAATCAATGCAACTTTAAGTTTACTTTCATCATTTGGAGTCACTGAAGCTGCATTCGACTGAGAAAATGAGTGTTGGGCGGATTCTATTTGCCCCATCCTGTCTACTTTCTTCGGATCAGTGAATATTTACTTGAACCAATAAGAGCAGTTTAGTGAAGCACTAATTGGTTATATTAGATCAACAGAAATTCCAAGAAAAAAATTACTTTTCTGCTCTTGAATCAAAGGGTTTCAATTCTTGTTTCATGTATTAGGCCTTTGAGTTGTAACTTTATCAGTTTTTTTTGTAGAAGTAATAATTCTAAGGTCATAATCTGTTGGAGTAAATATTGATTCAAGCTAGAGTTAGCCTGAAGATTAATACATAGTGTAATCCTTTTAACTTGCTTCAAGTTAGAGTTAACTTGAAGGGGATTTGTTTATTATCGTTGTACAACAAGGTTTAAAGCCAATTTTTTAGGATTTTTTTTGTAATCAGGTTTGGCTCAGTGTTTTAATAGAGGGGTTGAGTTTTAATTCCATAGGAATCTAAGTGAATTGCGATTTTTATACCTTTGAGCGAATGTAGTTTTCGAGGTGAAAAGAAACATAATAAGAAAATAGAAGAAATAAAGCCCAATTGCTTTATTGGTTATTTCTTTATTATTAATAATTGTGAGAACCAGGAAGTCAGCCAGTTATTACTAAAAAAATATTTAATGCTAAAACTGGTAATTGTGGTTAGTGATCGAGGGCGGATCATGAACAATGGAGGCCTAAACTCAAACTTTATTAAGAAGCTTTAAACTTAAAAAATTATATTTACTAACGTGTTCCATTCTTCATATTTGACATTTTTTAATTTTGAGAAATAATAAAAGAACAATATGCTACTATGATGTAAAAATTTAAAAAGTACAACTTCAAATTTATAGAAAAAGATAGTAATAAAATACATCGCAGTAGTGACACATAACAAAAAAGAAAATAACATGTGCAATGCTTGTTCAATATATATATATATGGTAACCCTAGCGCAAAAAAAAAAAAAAAAAACTAACTCATAGTCTAATATAATGGAGTACTAGAAAAGGAAATTAAGTGATGCACTATGAAATCAAAACATGATTGATTTGCATTTTGGAAGAATAATTCAAATTTAGAATATGAAACCAAATTTACATAGGATTTGGAATTTACTTAACTCGTGTCTAATTAAGATTTGTAATCAAATTAATATAGGAATATGATTTATAATCCTAGTTAAATTAGGCTTTACACTTTTATAAATAGGAATCGTGCTAGCTATTTTCATATAAAAGTAGAGAGCATTCAAATCATCGGAATCCATAAAACTTTTCGGAATCAAACAAAATGGAAACAGAGTACTGTGTTTCTCAATTTCATCCTTCAATTGCAAAAACAGCCTCGATAAGTTTATCATCATTTGGATCAGGAGGTCCATTTAGTTTTGATTCATTCTCTCGGAAATGGAACTCGAAGAAGAAGAAGAAAGAACCTTTTCCTGAGGAAAAATCATCGAATAAGCACGAGGTAACGGGGAATGAGTGGTTAGAAACAGGGAATTGCCCTATCGCGAAATCATATAGAGCTGTTAGCGGAGTTCCCCCAATTGTGGCATCAACTTTTCAGTTACCTCCTGGAATGAAACTCAAATGCCCACCTGCAGTTGTTGCAGTCAGGGCTGCCCTAGCTAAGACTGTTTTGGTGAAGACTATGCGGCCGCAACCATTATTTTCGAAGATGTTAGTTATTGGTGCATTGGGAATGGCAGTTAATATTCCATTAGGGATATGGAGAGAACACACTGACTAGTTCTCATTATCATGGTTTACTGCAGTTCATTTCATAGCTATGTTGAGGAAATCAGTTGTGATGCCTAAAACAGCTATGGCATTAACTATTGCTGCTGCTGTATTGGGACAGGTCATTGGCTCAAGAGCAGAGAGACTTCGACAACAACATATTCAGTGTAGTCCAACAATCGAAAGAGTAACTGACATCAAGTATCAATAATTGAGTTCTAATCTAAATTTTGTATGTATGTAATAAATTTTTTTAATTATAAATATAAATTTTGGACGTTGGACCGAACTCATACTTGACCTTCTAGTTCAACCAATGTGTATATCACAGTAGTGACACATTACAAAAAGAAATAACATGTGCAGTGCTTGTTCATTATTTTATACTTCTATATGTATCTATGGAAGCACAAAAAAAATCTAAGCAAGAAATAGTCTAATTATATTCCATAGAAAATTAGGAATAGCATGGCATGTGGTGAAGATGAAAGCATGCAACTGCACAATGAATCTAAGTTGCTCGTATGGTTCATGTTCGGTGTTGCATTCGTGTCGATATAATATGAGGGTGAAATTAGTATTGAATTTGATCAACCAATTTTAGGTACTTTCACCAAAATGGACAGATGATTTTCATAATCAAAACATAAATGATGATGAAATTGAATAAAATGGAATAACTTTTATAGAGAAATTTCTATGTCAGTCTATTATTTTTCATCTCCTTATGGGATTCTTCTCTTGATCAATATTTTCTCCTTGGAATACCTTGTCTCATAATTTGATGTATAACTCTTTTTTAGGTATTTGAATTCCTGCAACCATATTCCAATCTGAATTTGTATACCTAAATCTCAAAATTTCAATTATGAAGGGTCCGACGTCTATATCTATATTTGTATGGTACATCTACACTTGAGTTCTAGCAACTTAGCTATGAATATCCCTACACATCATGTTGTGATTAGATCCAAAACATGATTGAATTTGCTACTTCCTTAATCCATCGGAAACTTGGTTAAACAATAATTAAAATCACATCACCTGTCTACTCTTATTCCGTAAGCATGCATGAATTTGGCAACAAATAATTTTAACCTTATACACCAAATACAAACGACTTCAATGTTTTGGAAATCTAAATCCTCCTAGTTTAGTCTAATCTGAATTTCCTCATCTTAATTACATGTCTTGTTCTTATATATCTACACATTAATTTATTTATAAACCAGATAGTATATGAATTTCAGATAAGTTACACTTAGACATACAATAAAATGACAACCAATTTGAAAATCACAAATTCATAATTTGAATTTTATTGGTTCTGAATTTTCCAACATCAGTAATTTAATCATATACATATAAGCTGCCGAGTATTAGTAAACACCAAGAGCAGCCTGTAGCTACATACAATAAATCTACAAGCATGACAAGCTCAGTTTTTTTAAACATATGATACTAGGGTTGTCATGTTAGGACAATAATATCTCACATGAATTGTCGTGTAGAAAGAGTGTATCTCATGTGAATTGTCATGTTAGGACAAGAGTATCTCACATGAATTGTCGTGTAGAAAGAGTGTATCTCATGTGAATTGTCATGTTAGGACAAGAGTATCTCACATGAATTGTCATGTAGGATGAGTGTATTTCACGTGAATTGTCATGTTAGGACGAGTATTTCACGTGAATTGTCATGACATGACAATTCCAAATAACATGACAATTCACGTGAAATACTCTTGTCCTAACATGACAATTCATGTGAAATACACTCATCCTACATGACAATTCATGTGAGATATTCTTGTCCTAACATGACAATTCACGTGAAATACACTCGTCCTATATGACAATTCATGTGAGATACTCTTGTCCTAACATGACAATTCACGTGAGAGATATACTCTTTCTATACGACAATTCACGTGAGATATTATTGTCCTAACATGGCAATTCCCTATCTACAAGTGAAGCACAACAATTGAAGCTGTATATCCCAAATGTTATAACAAAATTAGAATCAATACTTACGTAAGGGATGAAACAGCATTGCCTTGAAAGTCTAATCCATGGTCCTGTACAGATTGCACCAAAAACAATAACATCAAAAAAAATATAAATGCAACAAGAATATGAAATCTGTAAGAGACAACAGTATATATCAGACGGGTAAAGAACCTTTTGAGTTGAATTATCTCCCATCGTTCTTTATGTAGTCTCAATTTCTCTGCTTCACCATCATCATATATGACCTAAGAAGAGAAACACCAGAACAACTTCGGTCATTTAGAATTTTCAGGAGGAACTTTGGCAAAACATTAAAGCCAGTAAAACATGTGCAAATTAGGTAAGATTTCTACTTCACAATCAGTTTATATTTCCCTTCCTTGGTTAGTTATGAATAAGGCCATAACAAAGAGGTTTCTAAATTGTAAGGTCATCCCTGTATGTAAGAATGGATTTATGTGGCAGATCATGAATTTGAATAGTAATAGACTGGGTTATTCCCTATTTTATGTGACCCCATTTGACTCAACATGGAGATATAATTAATATTAATTAACATATATGTCACCTGAAATTATTTAGATAAGGAAACATATGATACTAGGGTTCAAACAGATCTATAAATATGAATGAGAAGTGTTTAAACATAAACAGTAACTCAAAGAAAATTATGAATTTAGCGAGACAATGACAAGGCATCATAATAATCTCATCACCTTGTGTTTCCTTTCCACAGGGTCAAAAGAAGAAACTACTCCCTCATAAAACCTACAAAGAGAAACATTAAGATGAGAAAATGTAGCAGATTCTTCCTCCTTATTCAAGATAAACTAATACTGGAATTGGTAGAAATGAAATTGAAATGTCATCTGACACACCACGAGTCACAATATAGGGTTTCTAAACTACAGCCCAAACTGAGTGTATCCACACATTGTTATCCATTTCACTGTGTTATGTTTGCAGAGGAGTTGTGAGCCAACAAGTACTTGCAAAAAGAACAATTCAAAATGAATCAAATATATAGAATAGTAATATCGCCCGCAAAATTAGCCTGTTTCAAACATTCATACAAGAGGCAACCAACAGGAGAAATCTACCAAAGGTAATACTATGATCAGTCAAATTGTAGTGGAGGTTGGTTGTTTGATAGGTGGCTGATCCTTTTGGATGGAGAATGAGGCAGAGAGGAGAAAAAGGAAAAGAGAAAAGGACCATGTGATTGATACATTAGTATGAATGGTTTCGAGTAAATTGAAAAATGACAAAGATATTTTTTCACATACTTCTGATCTGAACAGAAAGGATACTTGAACTATCCTGTAAGCTACATGCAGAACCAATTGTAATCCATAATTCTTTTGTTAGCCTAGCCAAAAAGATGTAGCACAAGAAAAAAACAGCTTTTTAGACAAACAAAGTGCATTGGAAACTCAGGATCCCATTAACAACAAAAGGTTACAGTCTGACTCTGCCTATGACCGCCATAATATGCAGGAATTGTCTGCAAGTTTTAACTCTGCTTAAAGCATCACGGATCATGAACTAACATATACTTCATTTGTCCTGTTTTATGTGACCCACTTCCCTTTTTGGCCTGTTGAAAAACAAAATGACACCTTTTATAATTAGAATTTTTTTATGACAAGGGAAACCCGCAACCGCTACCCTTTGGGTGCACACAGAGTAAAACTCCGCTCCTATGCAATAGCTCGCAAACCACATAGGAGACATAACCTGCACTAGGCAAGCACGGCGCAACGAGCTCGACCCAGAAGGCAAATCCCTTGCTTTTGATGGCAAGGGGTTTCGAACTTGAGACCTCTAACATGGAAGTCCCAAGAACAAACCACTGGGCCACCCTGAAGGGTTTTTATAATTAGAATTTAGAAATAATTTAAATTTGAACTTCCCATTTTACCCTCTATGACATGATTTTATAGCCACAAAAATATCTATGGTATGTTTTAGACGACAAGTATCAAAAGACGTTCTTTCTTTCTTAAACTTCGAGCCCAATAGAAAACTGAGACATATACTGGGATAGAGGCAGTAACACAAGAAATATTGATTGAACCAAGGAATAATACAAGCTACAAATAAACACAATGCTAGAATTCTTGCAATACCATCAAAGCCAAAGACTTATAAGTAACTCGAGGAACGAGGTTCTTGCACAAAGCCTAGCAGGCAAGCCAATATTTTATAGCATAAACTCGATAACTGAAGGCTACATCAAGTGCTGAAAAGTGTGTGTGTGTGCAGGATGGTTGGGTGGGTGAGTGTGATTAGTACAACAAATTTACAATGATTTGCAGTCTCACATCAATATTCCAAAGTACTTACTTTTCATCCAATGGAACCAAACTTTTATTCTAGTGCCAACCAGTTCCTTACCATAATCTTTAATGGTACAAGTCCTTTTAGAATCCTGAAACAAAAAATTAGAAGGACGAATGCTTCAGACATGAAAACACTTGAAACCACTTTCTAATACGAAATCTGTCAGAAACAATAGTATATCAGATGGTAGAGAACCTTTAGGGATGAATTATCTTCAAGCATCTTCCATCGTTCTTTATGTAGTCTCAATTTCTCTACTTCACCATCATCATATACGACCTAAAAAAGGAAACACCAAACAACACTGGTCATTTGGAACTATCAGGAGGATTTTTTGCAAAATGTTAAAGCCAATAAAATATGGTTCAAGTTAGATAATGCTACTTCACGATCAGTATATTTAAGAATAGGGTCTACAACAAAGATGTCTCTAAACTGTAAGGTTGTACCTGTATGTAAAAAGGGATTTACGTGGCAGCTCTTGATTTTGAAGAGTTAAATAGATTTGTCTATTCCCTAGTTTATCCGACCCCAGTTGACTTAACATGGAGTTAGTTTTACTTACAGGTATATTAGCTGTGGTAGGAGAACTTTTTGAAAACAAATGATACAAGGATTTACACTGGTCAAGGATGTTGAATTGTTGAATAAAATAAGAATGAAAATACAAGTAACTTAAGGAAAAAATCTAAGTTAGAGAAACAATGACAAGAGTTCATAAAAATAAATAATCTCGTCAACCTTGTGTTTGTTTGTCTCAGAATCAAAAGAAGAAATGACTCCTTCGTAAAACCTGTAAAGGAAAACTTTAAGATGAGAAATTATAGCTAGATTCTCCCTTCTTATTCAAGATAAAGTAAAATCAAAATTGGTAGATACAAGGACATGAAGAACAAAGAGATATTCAAAGTTGTGCGAACAATAATGGCATAAAACTCATTAGTATACGATGAAACTCGGGGAAGGAGTGATAGAACATAGAATAACAGAAACCAGTTCGGATTTATGCCTGATAGATCTACAACAGAGGCTATATTCCTGCTAACTCATTGATGTGCTGTGAAATTACGGCACATTCTATGTCATTTACATAGACTTTTCATGTTCTTAATGCTTTTTTAGTATATGATTCTTATGTTATTTTACATTTTGTAGATATTTTGAGGTGGGACACCAAAAGAGGGCAAAAGTGAACAAACACGTCAAAAAATTGAACCCTTCCGTGGACCGCTTCAAAACCAGACTGCGCACCGCAGAATGGGTCTGTCAGCCACAAAAAGAGACAGAATATAAAGGACTTTGAAGACCAAAATGCGATGATCTTTTGAGGTCCCATTGCTGTTCTGCGGACCGCATTCCTGTCTGTGATCAAGAATAGAATGTCATGAAGCCCATTTGCAAACTACATTTCTAGTTCTGCGGAGCAACATCAAGACCACACTTTAGGAAGAACTTAAGTGTAGCCCAAAATTGAAATGTAATTAGTATCTCCTAGTTGGTTTTGAAGAGCTAGCAAAGATAAACCCGCTAAATAGTCAAGCGACATTAGTGGGCAATAGAAATTCCAAGGATAACTACTTGGTCCATGTTTATTATTAGTTAATTATTTGTAATGTATCGTTCTTGATGATAATCAATTCCATAATTTCCACATCTTTTGTTTTCCTTTCTTGCGAGTTCATTGATCATTTTACCCGCTCTCTAGATAGATTTTATCTTTATTATTTTTAAACAAAATCAAATATTTCAAAATCAATTGGTTAGCTTAATTGGTGACAATTCCATAACTAGCTTGGTTGCCCTAGTATATTGTTCAATGTGGGATTCGACCCCGACTCTTAGTTGGGTAAATTTTATTGCAACGACCATGTTCACTTCTCTTTGAGAAGTGGATTTGGACGCCATCACTCTTCTAACAAGATTGATGGAAGTTTATTATGAGAAGAGACATACCTATCGGCTATCATGTTCGTCGACCCAAATAAAGCATAAGAAGAAGTACCACGGAAGGTCCTTTGGTGGGTGATGGAGGAGAAAGAAACTCATGATAAATATGTAAAATTCATAAAGGACATGTATGAAGGAGTTGTCACTGGCGTGAGAACTAGTAAGAGATACGGAGGAGTTGATTTTCCTATAATCGTGGGTTTACACCGAGGATCGTCATTGAGGCACTACTTGTTTACTCTAGTTATCAATGAACTAACCAATATAATACTATGTGAGGTCCTTCACCATTTGCTGATGAAATTGTGTTAATCGACGAAACCAGTAAGGATGTCAACCGGAAACTTGAACAGTTGAGAAGCACTTTAGAGAGCAAGGGTTTTCGGATACGATGAGTAAAAGGAAGACTAAATATATGCACTAAACTCTAAAGTTTAGTCAACATGAGAACTAAATTGAGGTAAGACTAGACTGGATTGATGTGCCTAAATGCAAACAATTTAGATATCTAGACTCTCCTTGTTCCAGAAGGATGAAGTGACAGATGAAAATGTTACTCAATAGAATTAAAACTGGAAGATTTAAATAAAGAAATAGTATGTGATAGATTGTAAGCTTTACATAATAATTATAAGTCCGACAATGAATGTTGGGTTTCTAAAGTTCAACATATCCACAAGATAAGTGTCGCAGAGATGCGACACTAAGATGGATGTGCGATCATGCCTGATTATATAAGACTAAAAATGACCACATTCGCTAGAAGGTGCAAGTAGCATACTTAATGATAAAATGAGAGAAGGTCGCTTGATATGGTTTTGTCACGTGGAGGCACGGTTTCCAAGTTGGATCTCTGCTTACAGAATCAAGGATCATGAAGTACCACATAACTCAAGAAATACCGAATGAGCCAAGATAGAAGACAAAGTTATGGATAAAACTCATGCTATTACTACATCTATACCATCAATTCAAAAACTTATAGGATTATAAGTATGCCATCGAAGGAGATTCTTACACATAAAGCCTAGCAGGTAAGGCAATGTTTTAAAGAACGAACTCAATAACTGAACTTTACATCAAGTTTCTAAAAAGAGTGTACGTGCAAGATCGTTGGGTGTGACTAGTACAATAAATTTACGATGGTGTTGCAGTCCTCACATCAATATTTTAAAGAACTTATGCTTGCTCCAATGGCCACCAAACTTGTATTTTAGCGCCAATCAGTTCTGCACCATGATCTTTACTGGTACGAGCCCTTTCAGAATCCTGTGCAGCTCACAAGTAAAAAGGAGAATTGCAAAAGGAAAGTAATAATTTGTGCATTGGATAAATAAATTAGCAAAGATCTTGAAATAACTATTACTGAGTTGTACGGTTGTCAACCTTATCTCCAGATTCTTCAGTATTAGTTGTTTTTTTCTTCTTCCTCTGTTTCATTCCAAAATTTTGTTGTAGTGTTGGCTCCTTGTGTTCTTCGAGGTTTCCTTCTTCATTTTTTATGCTAGATTCAGATTTTCTCTCTTCGTCACAATCTGAAGCAGAATCATTCTTCCTTGAGTCGCTTCCTCGTTTTCTTTTGGCACATACTGTGCGCTTGGTTCTCTCTCCCCAAGTGAGACCCTAAATGAAGAGAATCTTTTTTCTGAACTTGGGATTGCGGCACATCTCCTATTGGAATTAACACAACCAGCTCATCATCGTCATTTATCGGGATCTCTTTTCTCTTGGGCTGACACAAATGACCATGACTTTCAGTGCTATTATTATGATTTTCGGACACCAAAGAATGATGGCCACTACTACCTGTAAGTTCATGACTTCCAGTCCCTTCCTGGTTTTCTTTTGGCACATTTGTTGCACATCTTCTGGATTGACAGGTTTTATGATATTTGTTGTACAAGTATCCTTCAGCTTCTTCCTGTGAGTATCACCCTGCAACACTGGTTCACAAAATTTAACCTCAGATGGTCCAACTTTTACAGGATGACCTGTAAGTTTATGACTTACAGTCCCTTCCTGGTTTTCTTTTGGCAGATTTTTTGTTAGGCGCACATCTTCTGAATTGGCAGGTTTCATGATATAAGTTAAACAAGTATGCTTTAGCTTCTCCCTGTGAGTGTTATCCTGCCGCGCTGACTCACAACATTTAGCCTCAGATGGACCAACTTTTACGCGATGCACAGTATTAGGTGCATTTTCAGTTGCCATCATATAAAAAATAAGAGAAGAGGAAAAGAAAAAAATCTGTTAAAAATTGTTGTAGCGTCTGAGTAATAATTAAACACAATAGAATCACTTAGTCTCCTTGGCATCCCCCTGCTCTTTGGGCCGAATAGTGCATTAGAGCCAATACTAAAATCTTCTTAACTAAATTCAAAACTAGAGTATATTCTAATGTAACCTGAGTGGAGTCACTCTAATGTTGGCTCTAACTCCTTTGAGTGATGTATGTTTACAATAAGGATAATTGACATGAGTATGCAAAAAGAAAAGTTCTTTAAAAACTTTAACAACAATTAGATTTTAACAGAAACATACAGTTTTTAAAGAACTTTTCTCTTTGCATACTCATGTCAATTATCCTTATTGTAACCATACATCACTCAAAGGAGTTAGATCCAACATTAGAATGACTCCACTCAGCTTACATTAGAATATACTCTAGTGTTGAATTTAGTTAACAAGATTTTAGTATTGGCTCTAATGCAGTATTCGGCATAAAGAGCAGGGGGATGCCAAGGAGACTAAGTGCTTCTATTGTGTTTAATTATTACTAGGACGCTGCAACAGTTATTAACATATTTTTTTCTTTTCCTCTTCTCTTATTTTTTTATCAGATGGCAACTGAAAATGCACCTGATACTGTGCATCGCGTAAAAGTTGGTCCATTTGAGGCTAAATGTTGTGAGCCAGCACGGCAGGATGACACTGACAGGGAGAAGCTAAAGCATACTTGTTTAACTAACATTATGAAACCTGTCAATCCAGAAGATGTGCACCCAACAAAAAATGTGCCAGGAAGGGACTGTAAGTCATAAACTTACAGGTCATCCTGTAAAAGTTGGTCCATCTGAAGCTAAATTTTGTGAACCAGTGCTGCAGGATGACACTCACAGTGAGAAGCTAAAGGATACTTGTACAACAAACATCATAAAACCTGTCAATCCAGAAGATGTGCAACCAGTAACAAATATGCCAAAAGAAAACTAGGAAGGGACTGGAAGTCATGAACTTACAGGTAGTAGTGGCCATCATTCTTTGGTGTCCGAAAATCATAATAATAGCACTGGAAGTCATGGTCATTTGTGTCAGCCCAAGAGAAAAGAGATCCCGATAAATAACGATGATGAGCTGGTTGTTGAGGCAATATTTGTCTTTCAATTAGATAGATTTTGAAGCCTTAGTTTAATTTATGTTCTTTGATCAAAAATTCATAGGACCGAAGTTAGTTGATTGCTATCAGCATGACGACTCTCTAGTTCTAAATGGATATCTATTGTTGTTAAAAGTTGAAGGAATTGCATAAACATAGGGTGGAAGTGAGAATTGTTGTTTTACTGTAACGATTTTGGACTAAAAAATGGAAGCGATAATCTATTCCCCCCCGGCTAAATTCATGCAATTTATAAAACTACAACTGGATTTCCCAATTTAATGTGTATATTAGTTTCTCGAAGTTTTTTGCTCGTATATCGGTAATTTAGGCAGTAATTGCAATCTAACTCCTCTATTTTCTCCTTTTCTTTTTGCCACGAAGTTGGAGTCGTTACTGAAAATGGTATGTCACGCCCATTTGATTCAACCACAAGTGCACTTCAACCTGTAATGAAAGCACTGGTTAGGAATGAGTTGTTGAGGCATATCAATGAAGATGTCAAAGTTTCAGTGGTTTCTTGTCTCACTGAGATTTCTCGAATATATGCCCCAAAGTACCCTTATGATGATCATAAACAAATGGAGATAGAACTATACCATTCTAATTTATCCTTTTGTTTTTACTTCAATGTTTTTTCTTTTTATAAACCTGGCCAATTTCTTTGTCAGGAAATTCTCCGACAAACTGTAATGACATTAAAAAAGTTAGCTGATGTTACTAGCCGCAGTTACCGTAAGGGGGTCTGAGTTGTGAATTTTTTTGCTAAAGTAAGGGTATGTGCGGTGCTATTGGACCTTGAAAATGAAACTTTAGTTTGAATATCTCGATAACTAAAGTTTCATTTTCAATATCCAATAACACCACACAAACCCTTACTTTGGCAAAAATTTCAAGAATTCGGACCACATTACGGTAACTACGGGCAGTAACATTAGATAACTTTTTCAATGCCATTACAGTTTGCTAGACAATTTCCTGAGATTTGTGAACACATGCATGAGAAACGAAAATGCAAATGGTCGTATAAGATTAAGACAGAGAAATTGGCCAGGTTTTAAAAAAGAAAACTTATTGAAGTAAACAGAAGGGTAAATTAGAATGGTATAGTTCTACCTCCATTTGTTTATGATCATCATAAGGGTACTTTGGGGTAAATATTCTAGAAACTTGGTGATACAAAAAACAACTGGAACTTTGACATCTTTATTGGTATACCTCAAAAGCTCATTCCTAACCAGTGCCTTCATTACAAGTTGAAGTGCACTTCTCGTCGAATCAAAAGGGTCCTGACCTACCATTTTCAGCAAGGACTCAACTTTCTAACAAAAAGAAAAGGAGAAAATAGAGGTGTAAGATTCCAATTACTACCTAAATTACCAACATTCGAGCAAACAACTTCGAGAAATTAATATGCACATTAAATTGGGAAATCAAGTTGTAGCTTTAGAAACAGTAAGCCATAAATTGCATGAATTGAACGGGGGAAAAGAAAAGATTATCGCTTCTGTTTTCAAGTCCAAAATCATTACAGTAGAACAATTCCCACTTCCACCTCATCTTTTATGTGATTCCATCTCATTCAATATTTAACAGCAGTAATGTCTACATATTGTGTGTTGTATTCTTTTGGCTTCTTTCACTGCTTTGCGATAGCACTGCATAGTCATATTAGCCCCAATTGCATCGTGCATAAACCTTGCACTGGTTCTTGTGTATCTTTCTCCTTCCATTCCCGTAATACGGCACCAAGGTTCTACAGTTTAGGGCACTTTGCATAGTCATGCGTCCCATCGCATATGTAGCAACCGTTCCCTTTGTAGTATGTGCCTTCTTCTGAGCATCATTTTGACGTCCAAACTTCTTAGCATCAGACTTATAGGTGTCATGATTCTTGAGATGTGGTTGTTGCTCCTTGTTTTTGTCACGATCTCCCCCACCTTGGTCATGACTACCTCTCATCTCATCTCATCTGCCTCTATCATGTTTGTCATGCCTAAAGTTTGTCAAAGCTCCAGCCTGCATGATGGCTTCATCAATAGTACTTGCTTGTCGGCGCTCCAACTCCGTCTTGGCCTAATTTTGCAGTCCAACCATAAGGTGGAACAACATATCTTTACCTGTGAGGTTGAGAATCTAAAGCGTGAGGGTGGTGAACTCATTCACACATGCTCGTATGTTGCCCGTCTACTTCAACTCCCTAAACTTGCGCTTCGCCATCTACCTTATAGATGACATTGTTGGGATAGAAGGCCTTCTTAAACTCGACTTAGAATTGCTACCATGTGTTAATGGTGCAAATCACATTCCCACATCTCTAAGAGGTACAACACGGCAGTGTTGATCTTGTTCTTGTCGCTCTCACTTTGTTACACTTGAAGTAATTTCCCGAATGCCAAAGGAAATTCTCCACCTCTTGTCGTCACAAGCACCTTTGAACATCGGTGGCTTGGGAGCCTCAACCTTAGCCTCCCTATCTCTGTTGGACGCCGCACATACTCCAGCTTCAATTCCTCCTTAGACCGCTTTCATCTCGGCCTTTATGGTTTCAATTGTTCTTAATGCATCCATGAGCCGACATTCCAAGAAAGTGATGGTTTCCTACATCTCATATTCCGCATGCTTACGCTCCTCCAACTCTTTGAGTTTTAAAGAACAAACTCAATAACTGAACTTTACATCAAGTTTCTAAAAAGAGTGCGCGTGCAGGTTGGTTGGGTGTGACTAGTACAATAAATTTACAATGGTGTCACATCAATATTTTTAAAGAACTTACGCTTGCTCCAATGGCCGCCAAACTTTTATTTTAGCGTCGATCAGTTCTGCACCATGATCTTTGCTGATACGAGCCCTTTTAGAATCTTGAATGGAAAAATTAGAGCCATGAATGCTTCAGATTTGAAAGCATTCAGAACCACTTTTATTCTTAAATAATCCTTTTAATCTCCTTCTCATGACTCATCCCCTCAACCTACAGGCTGAAGGTGGAGGAGGCTAATCACTAAGCTAGTATTCTCTCGTCTGGAGAACCACTTTTAAAACAAAGCAGGATTACCATCAGTCCTATGATATTTAATGAATTATGGAACGATTGTTATCTGCTAAACTTCAAAAGAGGGAAAATAGTTTTTCTGCAAAATTTGTCACATTGTAGAGCTAGAAAATAGTTTCCGGTGAAAGGAAGTTCTTAAAAATCAGTGAAGTTGTAACAGACTCAATAACCAGACCAATGCAATTCAAACTAAAACAACCGATAGATATATTTCACTAACTCGTAATGAAATTACAAAGAAATCTAAGTACTAAAATGGAAATTGAAGAACTAGGAGAAAGGGATGAGAGTCAGAACTGGTCAACGAAAAGGGGATGAGGAATACAGATACTCCATAACAGTTTTTGCCTAAACCTTTCTTTACCATCCGTCATCCTTTTAACTAGTTGTTTATTGGGCTTGGGTCCCAAACCAACCTTTGTGAAGGCCTTCTAATTTTGCTGCTCCTTTTCGGCCCAATAACTAGTTGTGTGGCATTCGTATAGGTATTGACATTGGGCCGAGGTTGGTTCATAACAGAAGTTGCAAAATGTAATATACCAAATCAGTATATGAAGCATTTAGACAATTTACATACATTTATGCAAAGCTCTGATAATTGCATATATGTAGGTTACACAGATAGGAGTTTAATCTACATATAGTGATAGATCAGTACCTCATGTTTCCTTGTAGCCAACTTCCTCCTGGATTTATAATTAGCACGTTTGTTGAAGTAATTTTCATCTTTGACAGATAATTTAGTAGCCTGTGCAGCTCACAAGTAAAAAAGAGAATAGCAAAATGAAAGTAATAATTTGTTCATTGCAAAAATAAATTACCAAAGATCTTGAAATAACTATTACATCACTGCAACAAATGTTTGGAATGAAACAGAGGAAGGAAAAGACGAAAACTGCTAGTAAGATATTGAAGAAACTGGGAAATAAGCTACTCAACCTTATCTCCACAGAAGCTGTGCGATGTAGGCGAAAAAAATAGTATGTGATCTTGTATAATTCTTGCAACAGCCACCAACCCATCAACAACACTAAAGATTGTCTGCTCATTACCAAAACGTTAGAGTGCAAACAGGCTCTTTCCAACCACAACTTCATCCATATATGTTCCACTTACACTTGCGTGATTGAGTGCTAAAAGAAACTCCAAGGAACTACTGAAGTGTTCAGATGCAGCAGTACCTATATGTTGCCACTCAAGACCACAAATGTGTTCACCCCGCCATGTAACTGGTGAGGAATGAGAATAAGGTTGAAGAGTCACGTTCCAGCCATAATCGTTGTTTGGCGAAAGGCTGTATAGAGCCTTTGTGAAAATATTGCATACAAAACTATATGCCACTGCAATTTTGGCAACAAGAGGGAATCTTTTGATACAAGTTCTCCAAACATCCTTCATCTCCACGACTCCAAAAACAACAGAGATGGCATCCAGCACATCATCTTTGTTGACTAGAATTTTGGGAAATACATCATCATTAAGATATGGACCAGGATCAAAGACAAGATACAACAAAGTTGGCATTGAAACATGAACACCAAACATAGCAAACAAGAGCACATCGTCTTTGTTGACAAGAATATTGGGAAACTGCTCCAAATATCGGGCAGCAAATGCCTCAAGCGACCCCTGTATTTTCTCCGCCTTACCCAGTTCTCTCGATTTTGACAACAATAAACCAGGAGAACATTGCGCTTGTCCTTTACCAGCCCAAATGAAAGAATACCACAAGGTTGACATAATGAACTTATTATGATCCAAGTTGTCCGAAGCGAGACAAAATACAGAGTTTCTTGTAACTCTAAGAAACATGGTAAGTAAACGAGAGCCAGGATCAAATGGAAATGCTAATCCGAATTGATCAGGTGGAAACAGATGCAAAGTTAAGACAAGTGAAACAGGACCAAGTCTACTAAAGTGATCAGTTATACCTCTGTTAGTAAGTTGGTCATATTTGCAAGTTGAAAGCATTCCAGACAACTCCTCTGAGCATCGGACTATTCCAAGTTTATGTAGCATATTAAACATGGCAAAGTAACCGAAACTAGAAAATGTAGAATCAACCCATAATTGAGGTATTCCCACAAATGCAGGGACCAGTTGTTGTATTTTATTTCCAATGGTAAAAAGTTCTTCCTCATTCTTGTCTTCATTTCCAACATCGGTAAAATAGTCGCTTTCCTCAGTAGTCTCTGTGTTAATCGTAAGCACCTTGTGTGATTCTAGAATAACATCCTTAGATGCTACGGAAAATTCATCGAACACCTTGTGTGCCTGATTGTTTATGTATACAAGTGGCTCATTTAAGTGTTGTGGAACAGGGCAGTCCACCTCCTCTGTGGTTGCATCCAAAATCGAATGAAAAACCTCCTCTTTTGCTTGATTTGCCAACATTTCAGCGCTGCCACTTTTAACTAGCATTGTTGCATTCTTAACATCCACAACAATATTAGTTGTTTTATTCAACTTTTCACCAAACACCTGGTGGGCAGAGTTCACTTTGTTGTAGTCAGACCGGGCAGTCCATGACTGAGGCGAAGGCGAGGTAGCGATTGTGCTCCATGACGAAATAGTTGCAGCCCGTGCCTGAGAATCATCCACTGTGGTAAACTGCCGGAGAAAGGCGAATCGATTGTGAGGAGCTTTCCGACTTTGAAAACGAATAAACAATTTATCTACGAAATGATCCCAACCCGCAAGTTGTTTGTTTCGGAAGAGCCAACGATACCATTCCAAAGCCTCGCCATCCAAATAGAATGAAGCCCAGGACAGTTTATGCTCCGATAATATGTCATAGAAGATGAAATACTTCTCTGTCTGCATCACCCAATCTAGAGGATTGTCACCATGGAAGCGACCCATGACGGGGGCTTGAGATAGGTCCACCATTGGTAGATGGAATCAATGAAAGCACCAATGTAACAGACTCAATAACCAGACCAATGCAATTCAAACTAAACAACCGATAGATATATTTCACTAACTCGTAATGAAATTACAAAGAAATCTAAGTACTAAAATGGAAATTGAAGAACTAGGAGAAAGGGATGAGAGTCAGAACTGGTCAACGAAAAGGGGATGAGGAATACAGATACTCCATAACAGTTTTTGCCTAAACCTTTCTTTACCATCCGTCATCCTTTTAACTAGTTGTTTATTGGGCTTGGGTCCCAAACCAACCTTTGTGAAGGCCTTCTAATTTTGCTGCTCCTTTTCGGCCCAATAACTAGTTGTGTGGCATTCGTATAGGTATTGACATTGGGCCGAGGTTGGTTCATAACAGAAGTTGCAAAATGTAATATACCAAATCAGTATATGAAGCATTTAGACAATTTACATACATTTATGCAAAGCTCTGATAATTGCATATATGTAGGTTACACAGATAGGAGTTTAATCTACATATAGTGATAGATCAGTACCTCATGTTTCCTTGTAGCCAACTTCCTCCTGGATTTATAATTAGCACGTTTGTTGAAGTAATTTTCATCTTTGACAGATAATTTAGTAGCCTGTGCAGCTCACAAGTAAAAAAGAGAATAGCAAAATGAAAGTAATAATTTGTTCATTGCAAAAATAAATTACCAAAGATCTTGAAATAACTATTACATCACTGCAACAAATGTTTGGAATGAAACAGAGGAAGGAAAAGACGAAAACTGCTAGTAAGATATTGAAGAAACTGGGAAATAAGCTACTCAACCTTATCTCCACATTCTTCAATATTGTGCATCGTGGTAGTAGTTTTCTTTTCTCTTTTTCTGTTCGTTCCAAACATTTGTTAAAGTGATGGCTCCTTGTGTTCTTTGAGGTTTCCTTCTTCATTTTTTCATGCTAGATTCACATTTTCTCTCTGAGTCACAATCGGAAGCAGGTCCATTCTTCCTTGAATACCTTTCTGGTTTTCTTTGGGCAAATCGTGAGCGCTTGGTTCTCTCTCCCCAAGTGAGACCTAATTGAGAGGGAAAAAAAATCTGACCTTGGGATTGGGGCACATCTCTCACTATCGCCATTTATAGGTATCCCTTCCTGGTTTTATGTGCAATTTGTCCGTGACGAGCTACCCCCAAATTTCTTTCCTCATTTTGAAAATGGAAAACATGTGTAATAAGTAATCTTTTCCCTTTTAATTTTATTTTATTTTTTGACTTTGAATAGATATAAAATTTTAAGGCTTAAGTCATATGCGGCCCCTTAAAGTTGTCCGCATATTTTACTTAGACACCTCAATTTATGCTTGTACCTATTGAACACCTTATATGTTCAAAAATGATTCCTATTAGACACAAAATGATGATCTGGCAAAAAAAGTGTATTCCACACTCTTTAAGCGCGTACAGACATTAAAATTAACATTTTTTCTTTTCCTTTTCCACTTATACACTTAAATTAATAGATAATATAATAATAATAATTAATAAACAAAAAAAAAATCTTGTGCAAGATGCAACTGTTCATCATCTCTCTCACCCTCTTCAATTCTTCTCGTGTTTTTTCTTTCTTTTTTTTCTATGATAATTTAATTAAAATCTCAATTATTTATGCAAAACTCTAATATTTATAATATTTCAATGAAGCAATTGACTATTTTTTCATAAAAATCCTTTTTTTTTTTATATTGCGATAAATGATTACTAGTGGAAAGAAGATGAAGACAATGGGTGGAAGGTTTTAATGCTATTAGAATGAAATGTAAATGAAGGGTTAGCTTAGATGAACAATAATGATATATTATTGACGCCGATAAAAGTGATTAAATTCGATGAAGAAGAATTAAGATAGGGATGGAGGCGCAGAAGCCTGAAAAGGGAACGGAGAAGAAGAGGAAGCAGCGTGAATGTGATGGTTTACTGGTGGACGACGTAAATTAATGGACAGGAAAATAAGTTACGACGGAGAAGAAGAAGAAAGGTGGGTGGGGTGGGGTGGAGTGGGTTAATTTCAAAAATAATGTTGTTTTCTTAAAATTGCTTTTTAATTATTTCTAAATAGAGTTATTAATAAATTAATTCAATTGCCACGTGTCATCATTTTTGTGGTCCATTTGTTATGTATAAGCGATTGAGATGCACGCATATTTTTCTTTTTATTGATTATTATTTTGTGTACAAATAGGTATAAATTTGTTAAGATTTAAGTGTTCAATAGGTACAAACATAACTTGAGGTGTTTAAGTGAAAATATGCGGACAACTTTAAGGGGCCGCATATGACTTAGGCCAAATTTTAAAAAGGAAAATTTCATTAAATTTTATGATCCTAAATTAAATATATGCAAAATCTATAATAAATGTTTTAAAATTTTATCATTTTAATTATTTATGTAAAATTAAAATTAAATTAAACAACTGAAAGAAATAAAAAGATATTTATTTTTAAATGTACTTAAAAAGTCATAGTACATAACATGTCTTTTAACTTAACTTTAGTTGTCATGTATTCAAATTTAGATGTGTAAAAATAACTATTTAAATTTGTGTAAAGTTAAACAGATAGATAGAGTCGTCCTAGACGATAATTCATGTGAGATACACTCATCATACATGATAATTCACGTGAATTACACTCGTCCTACAAGACAATTCATGTGAGATATACTCATCATACATCACAATTCATGTGAGATAAATTCATCATACGTGACAATTTATGTGAGATACATTCGTCCTACATGACAATTCACATGAGATATACTGGTCCTACATGGCAATTCATGTTATATACACTCGTCTTATATATCAATTCACGTGAATTACACTCGTCCTATATGACAATTCACCTGAGATACTGATCCTACACGACAATTCATGTGAGATACGTACTCGTCTTACATAACAATTCACATGAATTGCACTCGTCCTATATTCACATGAGATGCACTCATACTACCTGACAATTCATGTGAGATAAATTCGTCCTACATAATGATTCATGTGAGATACATTCCTCCTACATGACAATTCACATGAGATAAATTACGGCGTTCTTTTTTCCCTCATTCTCGTCTCTGATTTCACATCCTCTTTTGTCTCAGCTGCCTCAGAAGTTGTGTAGGTAATTGCAATGTAGCAGTTTGTCTTCATAATAAAGATCTCTATTAGGATATGAACTCTTCCAGTTTTGATATAAAAACAACTGCAACCCAATGTGCATATATAATTCAATATAAACAATATACTATTACTACTACTACTACTAATAATATTATTAATAATAATAATAATAATCATAATAAATAAATAAATAAATAAATAGAAAAAGCAAATACATGATAATATCGGTAAAATAAATCAACAAGTTAAAGAAAATCACACTAACCAACACTCTTTCATTTAATTAACAATTAAAAATTATCATTGTGTCATTCTAAGAAATTGAGAGAAAACAAACTATTATTAATTAATAATATCTTTAGTATTAATCACAAATAAACAAACTAATCAAGAATATTAGCCACAGATAAACAAACTAATTAAGAATAGCTAATCACAATAGTCAAAATAAACTAAACAAAATGATGGATGCAAACATCATTCATGAACACTAAAACAGTAAACACAAACCTTAATAAAAAGAAACAAAGTAATAAAAGAGATAAAAGTTACCGATCCCAGAGTTTTGAAACTTCTGATTGTTGTTTACCGAAGCCGTAGCCGCTCCTTTGAGGTGGTGCTTGTTGGTGGTATGGTTTCTATCTTGCCAGTGAGCTTGAGCTAGCCGCTGATGCTATTAGTGGTCTGGTTCGTTTGGTGGCTCACTAAAAATTGGGAGTTCGCCGGAGAGATTGGAGCTTGGAGCTCAACGTGAGGATAATGAAAATGGGGTTTCGGGATGGTTCGCCGGAGCGAGGAAGAGGAGAAAGGAAATGGTGGTAGGATGGTGGTAGCTTGCTTTCTGTTGTATGTTTTGGTGTTTGGATCTGGCAATAGAGAGAACATGGGTGTTAGTGGGGAAGATGAGAGCTGTTGTTTGGAGGTGTTTGGATGATGGTTCCGGTAGAAACAATGGTGTTTTGGTTGTTGTTTTGTTCATTGTTCTGTTGGTGGTTAGTCACTAGAAATCGGAAGCTTGCCGAAAATATGAAATGGGTCTTGTTTGGTCGAAGGAGAGGAGAGGCAGTGGGTGGTGGTGGCTTCAGCCTTGGGCGGCTGGAAATGAGGATGGAAGAGAAGGTCCTAAACCTAAAAATATTATCCACCACCCCCTATTTTTTAACCTAATCAAAACTTATATAGGAAATAATTGTTAAATAGGCTCAATTGTGGGTTTGGGATTGAGTCCCAAAATTATCGATCAAGTAAAATATCTGTATTTGAATGAACTTTTAGATTATGCAAAATATCAATATTAACAAATGTAACAAATAAAATGAATTAAAATAAATATAATGAACGTACTAATGACATGTAAAAATGTAATTTTAAAATTAACTGATAAAAAACCCTACATTTTGATAAATAAAGATAGTTATCGACAAACTTATTTAAAATTATAAAAAAAATATTTTGAACCATTATATAAATAAAACTTTAAAGTTACGAATTTTTGAAAATATTAGGCCAAAATTGGGTGTCAACAGGCTTATTATAGTTACAAAAAAAAGCTGATTTTTCTTTTTAAGAAGTTGGATAGTCTTACATTTGGTAGGAACCGAACATTTGGTACAGTGAGGGGATTAAATTTCTCAAGGAAACACAGTGGTTTCTGTGGACTCGGATTAAAAATCATTTTGTCTATTTCATCTTTTTATGTTTCTGTATTTTTGACTAACCTGAATACAGGAGATAACAAGTTGTGTTAACTGTTAAGATGTCTCACATCGGTAGAGGGATGGGAATTTGGTGTCCTTATATGGACTTGGACAAATCTCCCCTCATGAGCTAGCTTTTGGGATGTGAGTTAGGCCCAAGACCTAATTTAACATGGTATCAGAGTCAGGCCCTTCCCAATTTGTTGTTCACCGATGATGGGCCCCCATTTAGAAGTGTTCACGCTCCAGTTGAGGTCTGGGCGTGCGGGGGAGTGTTAAGATGTCTCACATCGATAGAGGGATAGGAATTTGGTGTCCTTATATGGACAAACCTCCTATCATGAGCTAGCCTTTAGGGTGTGAGTTAGGCCAATTTAACAAGTTGCTTCGGTGATGAGGTTGGGGTTGTCCTAATTCGTTAGAAATTCAGCATTCTTGTTGATCTTTAGATCGCCATGAGTCAGTAAATCTAACTCTATATTTATTTCTTGTGTTGTTAGACTTGAGATTGAGAGAAGCGAGAAAACTTGGAGGCTGGCAAGACCAAAGGATCAGGCTTCAACACGTTGACAAGAAATACACCTGAATTGTTGAGGTCAACAAGAGGTGAGCTCAAGATCTTCGCGGAATTAAGAGTTGTCATTTCATGAGTCAGTAAATCCATTTCTATCTTTCTTTCTCGTGTTGTTAGACTTAAGATTGAGAGAAGCGAGAAAACTTGGAGGCTGGCAAGACCAAAGGATCAGGCTTTAACATGTTGACAAGAAATACCCTTGAATTGCTGGAGGTCAGCAAGAGGTGAGCTCAAGATCTTCGCGGAATTAAGAGTTGTCATTTCAATTAAGTATTGTATGCTACATTTGTACATTCCTATAGGTATGTGGTGTAAGAGAGAAGCATCGAGATACTATTTGGTTGGTGACACAAGGAGTTACCAGCCAGTTGTTGGGCGCAAGTAAAGTGTTTGTTGATGTTTGCCTATTACGAGCTCTCTGGATCTAATCCAACATCTTTTTGCTTTTCATCACATATTGGAATGGCCTGAGTACTGTAGTTGTGTTGCCTCTGAAAGTATTTGTTAGCACTTACCAGTATATAATTGCGCTAATTGTCTAGTGTTAAACTAAAATCTAATATGATGAGAGTTGAAAATTAAACATTTATCCTACTTTGAAGTCTCATAATTGAAAAAGAACTACTTTTGCAACCAAATGAAAAAAACATAACAAGCGAGAAAAAATACATATACTCGTAGTCATTTTTTATTAAGGAAAAGAGATTTTGTGTATTTAGGGCATATCCAAATTAATTGAGTCTTACCACGAATATCAATCTGAAAAATTCAGAAACTAAAATATGAGGGACAAAT